CCCATTAGTCTTGATGTAAAGAACAATTAGAACTAGTGGGAGGAATCATGAGATTGAAGCAATAAAACAAAACAACAAAGGAAAAGGAGAGCAAATAGTATGCTTTCATCTACATTCAGGCCCCATAGTTCTTTCTCTGAATGTGGATAGCATTTTTCATCATGAGTCTTTTGGAGTTGTCTTAGATCCTTGCATTTCTGAAAATAGTCATGTCTATCAAAGCCAGTCATCTCACAATGTTGCTGTTACTGTGTACAATGTTCTCCTGGTTCTGTTCACTTCACTCAGCATCAGTTCATATAAGTTTTTCCAGGTTTTTCTTAAGTCTTCCTGCTCTTCATTTCTTATAGCTCAATAGTATTCCTTTACATTTGTATACCACAACTTGTTCAGCCATTCCCCAATTGATGGACATCCCCTCAATTTCCAATTCTTTACCACCACAGAAAGAGCTGCTATGAATATTTTTGTGCATGTGAGTCCTTTCCCCTTTTTTATGATCTCTTTGGGATTCATCCCTAGAAGTGATTTTACTGGGTTAAAGGGTATGCACAATTTTATATCTCTTTGGGCATAGTTCCAAATTGCTCTCCAGAATGGTTGTATCAGTTCACAACTCCACCAACAATGCATTAGTGTTCCAATTTTCCCACATCTCCAACATTTATCATTGTCCTGTTTTGTCATGTTAACTGATCTGATTGGTGTGATGTGATATTTCAGAGGTGTTTTAATTTGTGTTTCTCTAATCAATAGTGATTTAGAACATTTTTTCATATAACTATAGATAGCTTTAATTTCTTCCTCTGAAAACTGTCTGTTCACATCCTTTGACCATTTATTAATTTGGGAATGACTTGTATTCTTATAAATTTGACTCAGTTCTCTATATATTTTAGAAACAATGCCTTTATCAGAGACATTGGTTGTAAAACTGTTTTCCTAGTTTCCTGCTTCCCTCCTAATCTTGGATGCATTGGCTTTGTTTGTGCAAAAACTTTTCAGTTTAATGTAATTAAAATTATCCATTTTGCATTTTATAATGTTCTATTTCTCTTTTTTGGTCATAAATTCTTCTGTTCTCCATAAATCTGACAGGTAATCTGTTCCTTGCTCTCCTACTTTGCTTATAGTATCAGTCTTTGTATCTAAATTACGTACCCATTTTGACTTTATCTTGGTATAGGATGTAAGATGTTGGTCTATGCCCAGTTTCTTCCATATTCTTTTCCAATTTTCCCAACACTTTTTGTTAATGATTTCTTATCCCAGAAGCTAAAGTTTTTGGATTTATTAAATAGTAGATTAGTATAATCTTTGACTATTGTGTCTTGCATATCTAACCTATTCCACTGATCCTCCACTCTATTTCTTAGCCAGTACCAAGTAGTTTTGATGATTGCTGCTTTATAATGCAATTTAAGATCTGGTACAGCTAGGCCACCTTCTCTTGCATTTCTTTTCATTAGTTCCCTTGATATTCTGGACCTTTTTTTATTCTAGATGAATTTTGTTATTGTTTTTTCTAACTCTATAAAATAATTTTGGTAGTTTGACATGGCACTGGATAAGTAGATTAATTTAGGTAGAATTGTCATTTTTATCATATTAGTTTGGCCTACCCATGAGCAACTGATAGTTTTCCAATTATTTAGATCTGACTTTATTTGTGTGAAAAGTGTTTTGTAATTGTGTTCATATAGTTTCTGGTTTTGTTTTGGTAGGTAGGCTCCCAAATATTTTGTAATGTCTACAGTAATTTTAAATGAAATTTCTCTTTCTATCTCTTGCTATTGAGCTTTAGTTTTAATATATAGAAATGTCAATGATTTGTATGGGCTTTTTATGTCCTGCAACTTTGCTAAATTTGATTATTATTTTTAGTAATTTTTTTATTAGATTATCTAAGTATACCATAATATCATTTGCAAAGAGTGATAGCTTTATTTCTTCTTTGTTTATTCTAATTCCTTCAGTTTCTTTTTCTTCTCTGATTGCTACAGCTAACCTTTCTAGAACAATATTGAATAACAGTGGGGATAATGGACATCCTTGTTTCACCCCGATCTTATTTAAAATGCTTCTAGCTTATCCCCATTACATATAATCCTCGCTGATGGTTTTTGATAGATGCTATCTATCATTTTAAGGAAGACTTCATTTATTCCTATGCTTTCTGTTGTTTTTAATAGGAATGGGCATTCTATTTTGTCAAATACTTTTTCTTCATCTATTGAGATAATCACATGATTTCTGTTAGTTTTGTTCCTGATATGGTCAATTATGCTGATAGTTTTCCTAATATTGAACTAGCCTTGCATTCCTGGTATAAATCCTACATAGTCATAGTGTATTATCCTCAAGAGAAGTTGTAATCTCCTTGATAATATTTTATGTAAAATTTTTGCATCTATATTCATTAGGGAGATTGGTCTATAATTTTCTTTCTCTGTTTTAGCTCTTCATGGTTTAGATATCAGCAACATATTTGTATTATAAAAATAATTTGGGGGGGCAGCTAGGTGGCTCAGTGGATAGAGCACTGGCCCCAGATTCAAGAGGACCTGAGTTCAAATTTGGCCTCAGACACATAACACTTTCTAGCTGTGTGACCATGGGCAAGTCACTTAACCCCATTGCCTAGCCAAAAAAGAAAAAAAATAATTTGGTATGACTCCTTCTTCACCTATTTTCCAATATAGTTTACATAGTATTGGAATTAGTTGTTCTTTGATAGAATTCACTTGTAAATCCATCTGGCCCTGGAAATTTTTTCTTAGGGAGTTCATTTATGGCTTGTTCAATTTCTTTTCCTAAAATGGGGTTAAGTGTTTTATTTCCTCTTCTGTTAATCTGGACAATTTATATTTTTGTAAATATTCATCCATTTCACTAAGATTGGCAAATTATAAGGGCAGCTAAGTGGCGCAGTGGATAGAGGACTGGCCTTGAAGTCAGGAGGACCTGAATTCAAATCCAACCTCAGACACATAACACTTACTAGCTGTGTGACTCTGGGCAAGTCACTTAACCCCAATTGCCTTGCCTCCCCCCCCCCAAAAATTGTAAAATTTATTGGCATACAGTTGGACAAAATAACTCCTAATTATTCTTTTTATTTCCTTTTCATTAGTGGTGAAATTACCCTTTTCATTTTTATACTGGTAATTTAGATTTCTTCTTTCTTTTTTTAAGTTAAATTAATGAAAGTTTATCTATCTTATTGTTTTTTCTCATAAAACCAGATCTTAGTTTTATTTATTAGTTCAATAGTTTTCTTAATTTCAATTTTATTATTTTCTCCTTTAGTTTTCAGAATTCCTAATTAGGTATTTAATTGATGATCTTTAATTTGTTCTAGTTTATTTTTAGTTGCATGCCCAATTCATTGATCTCTTCCTTCTCTATTTTATTCATGTAACCATTTAGAGACATGAAGCTTCCCCTAAGCACTGCTTTTGCTGCATCCCATAAGTTTTGATATGTTGTCTCATTATTGTCATTTTCTTCAATGAGGTTATTGATTGTTTCTATAATTTGTTGTTTGATCCACTCATTCTTTAGGATTAGATTATTTAGTTTCCAATTAATTTTTAGTCTATCTTTCTATGACCCTTCATTACATTTAATTTTTATTGCATCATAATCTAAAAAGGATGGATTTAATATTTCTGCCTTTCTGCATTGGATTGTGAGGTTTTTATGCCCTAGTACATGGTCAATTTTTGTGTAGGTGCCATGTACTGCCAACAAAAAGGTGTATTCCTTTCTATCCCCACTCAGTTTTCTCCAGAGGTCAATTGTATTTAACTTTTCTAAAATTCTATTGATCTCCTTAACTTCTTTCTTGTTTATTATGTGGTTAGATTTATTTAGTTCTGAGAGGGGGAAGTCCCCCACTAGTTTAGTATTGCTCTCTATTTCTTCCTGTATCTCCCTTAACTTCTCCTTTTGGTATGTTTTTTAAAGTTGTTTAGAGAGGTGGGATGAGAGACCTGGGCAAAATTGTGATTTTACTCTGCATCTTGAATTTGCTGTTTGATATTTGATGGGTGACCTAGATCTCTAGCCTTTAGAAATCCAATTTTTTTCTGTGCCCCAGTTTCTACCACTGTAAAATGAAGGGTTTTGACCAGATGATCACTAAAGTTCTTTCTAGTTCTGACATTTCATAATTTACTTTTGTTTCCTCTTTCTGTACTTCACCTGTGATTTTATAGATGTAGGGGACTCCTGTGAGGAACCTCCTTTTCCAAACAGATACCAGTTAAGTGTCACAGTGAGTCAGTGCTGAATTTGGTTTCAGAAAAACCTGAGTTTAAATCCTGCCACAGAAACTTATTGGTTGTGTGGCTTTGGACAAGTCATATAATCTCTCTCTACCTCCATTTTCTTGTATTTAAAATGGGGATAATAGCATCTACTTCCCAGGGTTGCTATGAGGATAAAACAACATATATAAAATCCTTAACAAATCTTAAAACACTATATAAATGATAATGATGATGATGATGGTTATTAGCAAGTGTTCTACAACTTCTCTATCTGGGTTACTGAGAAATATTGTGGCTTGCCAAGAGTCACATAGTTAGTATATTTCAGAGGGGGGACTTCATCTCAGGGTTCTTGACCCTGAGGTCAAATCTCCATATAGAAAAAGAGGAGGGAGAGAGGTTAAAGCTAGGCTGAAATTAAAATACAAAGAAAAACATTGTTTGTGTAATTTGAATTACCTGATTGTTATTCATTATAACATATTAAGAATATAGGTAATTGTTTCCAACACTCACTAGTGGATTTTATTAGGAACCCTAATTTTACTTAAATCTTATTGAAAAGAAGACATTATTCTATTAAATTTTTTGCTTTTTGTGTGTGCAATTTAAAACTTCAGAAAGAGGATATTAATAAGCTGGTAGCACATTTTTCAGTGAAAGATGTTTTTAAAAAGTTTATTACTTACCAACCATTTTATTTGCATTTTTACTTTGTCTCTGCAGACTAAAATGGGTATTGCACTGTTGTATGATGAAGGGTCTGAAAATGCTTTTGACATCCGATTGAAACTTACAAAAGAGGTACTCACAATTCAAAAACAAGATGTCATCTGTGTTAGTGGAAGCAATCATAGTGCAAATGTAAGTGCTTCTCTATTTCTTTGTGTCTAATTATGTATGTCAATGTGTGTGAGAATTCTAAGAACAGAGGACAATATTCGGATTCATGGACTAATTGAGACATGCCACTTAGTGTTTGTTGAAATGAATTTAATTTTAACATATATAATAAAAAAGATTCATTTTTGCATTATATTTCTTGTTACTTAAAATATCCTAATCTACTGAGTTTTACTTATCATTAAATGGCAGTTTTGTATTACTAATGGAAACAGCTTCAAAAAAAGTTATATATTTAAAAGTTTTATTGTTTTATGTTCTAATTTTTTCCTGTTTTTAGTTTTTTCACCCTGAGATTTCATAAGTAAGATATGACTCCAAACAGTACTAAATAGAAATTTAGTATATTTGACTTTAAATTTATAGAAATGTATCAATTAGTCAATAAACATTTAATAAGCAACTATTATGTGCTAGGCACTGTGCTAAGCACTGTGGGTACTAAAAAGGCACACAAAAAAAATCCCTGCTCTCAAGGAGATCACAATTGAGTGAGGATAGAAACAAGCAAATTCATATGTAAAAATAAACTTTATAAATGGTATAAAGGAAGCAATTGAGAGATGGAAAGCACTAGAATGACAAAAGTTTGGAAATATCTTCCAGTAGAAGATGGGATTATTAATTGGGACTTAAAGAAGCCAGAGAAAGCCATAAACAGAAAAGAAAAGAGAACTTTCCAGGCATGGGGGACATCCAGAAGAAATGCCCAGAGCTAAGACATGGAGAATCTTGTCTGTGGAATAGCAAGGAGGCCAGCAGTATTGTATCAAAGTATGTGGAAGCAAATTAGGTATTAGATGACTGAAAAAGTAGGAACGGTGTTGACTTTGATGAGCTTTAATGACATATAGAATATTTTGTATTTGATCCTGGAGTTGATAGAGAACCACTTTTTCCTATAGTGATTTTTTGAAAGAGCTAAATGGAGGATAGATTGAAGTGGGGAGAGACTTGAGGCAGGCAGATCCACCAGCATATATTTGCAGTGGTCCAAGTATGAAGTGATAAGAGTCTGCATCAGAGTGGTGGCAGTATCAGGGGAGAAAATGGGGAGTATTTGATTAATGTTACAAAACTGAAAACAACAAACTTTGGCAACAGAGTGAATATAGGGAAAGGTTAAGGAACTGTGAGGAATTGAGGATGATACCTAGGTTGTGAACATGAGAGACTGGAAAGTTATTGTTGCCCTCTACAGTGATAGGGAACATCAGAGAGGTAGGGTGAAGAATTTAGGGAAAAAGATAAAAAGTTCTATTGTGGACATTTTTTAAATTTAAGATGTCTATTGGATATCCAGTTTGAGATGTCTTAAAAGCAGTTGGAGATGTGAGATTAGAGATCAGCAGAGATGTTTGGGTGGGATTTGTAGACTTGAGGATTGCCAGCATACAGATGGTAATTAAATCCATGGGAGCTGATATGATCACCAAGTGTAGTATAGAAGGAGAAGAGAAGAGGACCCAGGACAGAACCTTGGTGGACACCTATTGCACTTCAGGTCTTTTTAAAATGAATATCTAGCAAAAGGGACTAAGGAGTGTTAAGATAGATTGAAAGAGGACCAGAAGTGATGTCCAGAAAACCTAGAGATGAGAGAGTATCCAGGAGGAAATGCTGATCAGTAGTGTAGAGAAGGAGAAGGGGGATTGGGAAAAGACCATTTGATTTTACAACTAAGAGATCATTAGTAACTTTGGAGAGAACAATTTCAATGGAATATTTAGGATTTAAGCCAGATCGTAAGGGCTTGAGAAGAGAGTAAAAGAAGAAAAAGTAAAGACTGCTTGATAATGAGAAAGAGATGGAAAATAGGTTATAGACAGATAAGAGGATTTCAGAATTCTTCAACTTGAAGGTTGTATATTTTGGGGTTATGGAAAGATCAAAAGTATGACCATCTTAGTGTGTGACTGAGTTTGTGCTCATGAGAAATGAGTAGTGTGAGAAACTGGGAGATAAGAGTGTTTGAGGGTAAGTCAATATGTATGTTGAATTCTACTAATATGGGGACAAGAGATGAAGAGGGAAGAAACATTTTGAGACAACTATTGAACTCACTGTGGAAGGAAAGGGAATTATCTGGAGGTCTGTAGACAGCAGTTACCAGGATTGTAATTGGGTGATAGAAATGAATTGCATGAATTTCAAAGGATGAAAAGTTATTGAGTGATGGAGGAAGGGAGAGAACCTGAAGGTAGCAATTTGGAGCAAGTATTGCAACTCCCCAGCCTTGACCACGTGAGAGTTGTATAACAAAAATAAGTGAAGATGCAACCGTACTAGGAAGAGTAGTTGGTAAGGCTGTGACATGAGAGGGGAACTGAGCTTCAGTAAAAGCTAGTAGATGAATGAGGTGGGAGAGGAAAAGATTTAGGATGAAGAGAAGTTTGTTGCCTATAGAATAGGCATCTCAAGGGGCACAATGGAAGGAATGAGTAGTGTTTGGTTGGGGTGGGAGAATTAGAGGGATGAGAATAAGGAACTGGATGGGAGAGTAAGGAGAATAGGATTTGGATGATGAACTAGAGGGTTTCAGAATCGCAGGGATGTGTAGGGCATGAGGGTATGAGTGTTCAACAGTGGTTGGAGGACACTACTCTTCTTCCCAGAGGGGACTAGAGATTGATGTGGAAATAAGTCCAGCCAGTGTCATGTAGTTTATATTCCAAGTACAGATTTTGGAATCTTTGTATTGGGTATCACATCTAATAAAAAGAACAAAACAAAAATTAATATCATGTACCATCCATATGCCTTATGTAAACATGATTTATTTTACTCAGAAGAATGGACTTCCTTTGTATTCTTCTCCCTCTTATTTATAATTAACTTCCTCTTTAACCATATATAAAAGATAGCAAATAATACATATTATTAATAATTCATTCATCTAGGTCTTTAATGTTTATAAGCACTATGTCATGAGGTAGTATTATCTTTCTTTCATAGATCAGGGAACTGAAGCACAGAGAGAAATGCCTTGTTCACACTTTCAGTGTCAGAGGTGGAACTTACTCCTCTGTATATTTGACAACCAAGTCTAATGAACTCATCCCCAGGACCGCAATTTCTCAGAGCTTAAATGAAAAAATGATCATTAGCTTACTTGCTTTAAGCAAATGTGTCCCACCTTGAAAGTTTTCACAAGTTTAACAGCAAATATATTGTGTTAGAATACAGTTGGGCCTCAATTAGTTAGAACAATTAATCCTGGCAAGTGGTGTCATTATTCTAATTCACACTGCATATTTCCATTAGGTTGGAACCAATTACTGTATTTTAGATAATTATAACTTCAAATAATGTGAATTCTACTACATGTGACTACTTCATGGAATTCATTGTTTATGCTATTGGGATATTAAATCTATGTTTTCTTATTTGTATTTGTTGTTTTACTTTAAATCAGGATTCTAAAACATGGAAAACAAATGTTTTTTAGTAGACTAAAAAAAATTAAAAACAAAAATAAATGACGCATCAGCTTTAGCAGCTAGTCTTTTTATACAGAAATGATACTCTAGCTGCGCAAGAGATAATCTTTCTTACTGGATAATTACAAGTTTTCTCATAAACAGACTTAAAGAATTCCTAGTTGTGTTCTAAAGTGACAGTTCTTGGCTTTTTTTTTCTTAATAGTAGGCAGCATGGTTCAGTGGAAATTCTAGATTTGTAATCAGATTATTTAAATTCAAATCTCAGTTCTATAATATACTAATTTTTTTAAACTTTAATTGCATCCCTGGACCTCATTTTCATCATATATAATCTGAAGGTACTGAGCTAGTTATCCTATAAGGTTAGACTTTTGAGCTCTAAGTCCTATGTAAGGACAAGTTTACAAACCCTGGCTCTACCTTCTCCTATTTGTATGAGTTTTTGCAAAATTTTAGGCCTCTTTGAATCTTAAGTTTGAATTCAAATTGAGAGTGATAAGTCTGATACAATTTGTTTCACAGGATTTTTTGAAGCAATTGGTAAACTTCAAATGCTATAGAAATATTAGAGATATTATGATGATTATTATCAGTAATGTTATCCTATCTATGTTTCAATTCCATCAGGTGTAAAATAATATAAGCTCTTTGAGGGAAGGGACTGATTTTAATTTTTCTTTGTATAAGGAAAGGTTTACTTCCTACCCCCAATTAATATAAATCACAAAAGGTCCAAACTGGAGGTAGTTTGAAGCTAGTGAATTAATGCAGTAATTAAATCAATCAATGAAGGAATCTTAGGGGCTTTTCCTTTTTGGGGTCAAGATCCCATCCCCATTAGTAAGCACTTAATAAATGCTTTTTCATTCAGTCACTTGTGTATGATACCAGTCTTCTGTATAAATAACTGGCTTCTGAATTCAATTTTTTTTTAATCTTAGATCAGATACAAAGTCTTATTGGCATCATTTTTAGTAAGGTCTCAACCTTATTTAAAATATGTGAAATTAAGGGGTTTATATTTGTGGCTATGATAATATATTTTAAATATTCTGGAGATAAACTGATTGACCCTACTCCAAGTTCATTTTTAAACAAATGCCAACCAGGACTGTCTATACTAACAGAAATCTATTACAGAATGCTAAGAGTGAAAGGGGCATCAATGATAAACTTCTCCAACATTCTCATTTTACAGACGATGATACTGAGGCTCAGAGATATAGAGGAATGTAGATGTATTGACCTGCCTAAGATTATATATCAAATTAGTGGCAGATAAATAACTCAAAAACAGCTTTTATTGGCACAATCAAACATAGTCAGTGATTCATAAATGCATTTTGATTGTTTTATTATTTAGAAGTCATTTGACTCCAACTCCAGAGCCTGATCTACTATATCACAAATATTTCTAAGATTCTGGTTGGTGAGCTGATTGAGATGGGAGGAAGTATGATTGAAGCAGATAAAACCATGACCACCATCCTTCACGAGGCCTTTGGGGAGGAACCCAGC